TCTAAACATGAAACACTAAACACATAAATGGGTCCAAAGCACTGAAAATAATATATCTTGTGATTCATTACATTGTAGTTCGCTAATGAGGGTTCATGTTATGCAGTAATTCAATTGTGGATAATCATGATTTAATTACTCTTCCTGCATCTAGTAATTCTATGTCTGGAAGTGAGAGTGGTGAACTTCGGGATGTGGATGATGGACCCCATCAAATGGATTCTCAATCTAATAATGTTGAGGTTGAAGATGGTGAAGTGAAAGATGAGACCCTGGAGAATGAAGGGGGTATTAGAAACCCTCAGAACCTTTTAAATTTGGAAGCAAAGGTAGACAACACTCTTGCAGGCAATTCATTTGACATGGAAATAAGTGATGAAGAAACTGAAACCCTTAGAGTTGAAAAGAAATTGGATGATGTTAGCTCTGGAGCTCATTCCATATCTTTTACAGTTGAAGAGAAATTGGGTGTCTCTTCAGTGTCTACCGAAAAGCGGCGTCTTGACGTCCTAATTGGAAGTCCCATCCAGAACCACACAATGGATGGTATTTGTATCCTTCTTCTCTGTTATCGTACTTTTCTTTATTGTGTACTCGCTGACTCTAGCTTAAGAACTTTGCCTCTGAAATTGTATGTTTCATAAGCTCAATTCCATATGACAGAAGTAAATATTTCTCTAGAATCTATGGTATGATTGTTTTTGTTTTCCATAATTAAATGTGCCAGCTATATCTGGTGTTAAAAGACCCAGGATGACATTTGATGACCAGCAACCTTCTATTCGTATTGTGTATAATTTCTTAACAAGGTTAGGACTGGAGACTAATTCTGAAAATCAATGAATGAAAATCTTCACGTTTTTATTCCTTTTGTTTAAGTTTAGTTTTGTTTAATAGACTGAAGTAGGACTTGTTAAGATAAATAGTAATTTACTTTCTTTTTAGTTATATTCCTTATTGTTATCTCCCTCTTACCTTTTTCCAGAGCTAGTAAACAGAAGCTTGAGGAACTTTTACAGAAGTGGTCAGAGTGGCAAGCTGAACATGGTTCATCATTGCAAGTATGTTTGGTTGAATTTTTGGTTTTCAGTATTCTACCTCCATTCATCACTAATTATATCCGTTTTCAAATTTTAACCGAGGGAAGATCATTGATTTACCTTTCCTTATCTTGCATGATTTGGAATACCCCATCAACAGGTTGTATATTGTTGTTTTCACCTTGAGGATATCGTATACTTCTATGTTTGAGAATCTAATGCAATTACCGTTTTACAGTACCTGCATTTTATATTGACTTAGGTATCGTTATGGACTTGTGGAGTTCATTCAGAGCATCTAGTCCTTCTAAGAGTGTTCTTTTGTAAGATAAAATTTTGAATTTATTCTTAAAGAGTAACTTCGAAAGAGATGTTATATCTAAACCGGTGTCTCCTACTGAAAGCTGTGTTATAGATGGATGGGTGCATGCATATTTTGTTTGATTGTATCTATGTGTTTTGTTGTGTGTTTGGATGGGTATGTTTTTAGGTGTACTTGTAAAGGAATATACATGTGCATATGTTGATGGATAAATGTATGCACTTGTGGGTGCATAAGAACAGATGTGTATGCATCTGTCCCTTATATTGTTATGTATTGCAGTTTTTCTAATCCTTAACATTAAGTGTAACTGAATCTTATTCAATCTGGTCAGGAAAATGAACCTACAGAATCAGGAGAAGAGACATACTTTCCTGCTCTACTTGTTGGTGCAGAGAAGCCCTCATCTGTGGTAAGCTTGTCTCTAGTCCCCTAGGCATTCATGTTTTGAACTGATGCATGCATTTAGATCTTTGTAGTTGGAATATTTTTTTAGTAGAGGTGCAGTTTGTACCTTTTAGCATTTTTTTTTCAATTAATGTCATTAGAGATCTGCTATGTTGTGTAGTAATTTTTTCATTATCAGAATTTTGAATCGTGAGTGAATTTGTTTTTCTCTTGAAAAAAGTCATTCTATTATTTACTCTCTAAATGGATTTGACATTTCAACCCTTACCATTCCTCCCTTAAAAATTGTAAATTTTATGCACATTAAAGTTTCTCAAGGTCTGTCATTTCTGTTGCAAAAGGGCTCATGGTGCAGTAGAGTTTAGTGTTTTTTCTCAATATTTTAGTTTGATTTTTATTATTGGATTTGTAGTCATTCTGGATTGACAACCAAACAAGGAATCTGCATGATGCGGAGTTCATCCCATTGGACAGTAACATTGTGCCACTTTACGATCGTGGGTTTGCAATGGGTTTGACTTCAGCTGATGCTTCAAGTAATTTGGAAGGGTAAATATCATCTGTGATTCTGTAAATATTGTTTGCCATGTAAATGGATACTGACATGCAAGTTTGTTATAAGCCTTTAGGGCCTATTTTATGTCTTTGCACAACCCACCCAAAAAAAGATAAGAATAATTATGTCGAAAAGCAGCAGTGGTAGGTTGATTGTTAAATCTGTTTATGTGCCAGTCACCTGTCGGAATTATCAAAAACAAAATATATATCATAGCAAGGAGATCTTTTCTTGCCAATTAATTCTATTAAATTCCAGAAGAAAGAGTCTACTAGTTTAGTAGATATAACCATAAGCATGGTGCATCTTGTGTCCTGCATGTCTCTCCTATGTCTATGTCTGTGATTCCACCCTTCCACTTTACATGTTCAATTTTTGTTACCTATTTATGTTTCATGTTGCATGTTGCAGAGGCCTGGAGTTAAAAGACGAGGCTTCCCGTTGTTTCAACTGTGGTTCTTATAGTCATTCCCTGAAGCAATGCCCAAAGCCTCGTGATAGTGTTGCTGTCAACAATGCTCGAAAGCAACACCAAAAGTTCAAGCGTAATCAGAATGCTGCTTCTCGCAATGCAATTCGCTATTACCAGAGCTCTCAAGGTGGAAAGTATGATGATCTAAAGCCTGGTGTTCTTGGTGCTGAAACACGAGAACTATTAGGCCTTGGGGTAATATTCTTCTCCAATTCCATGACTACTCCCACCTGCTCCCTTCTTTTTGTGGTACCTAATGATACACCCAAATATATTGTATGGAAATCAACTAGATTTTGCGTACAGTGCTAAAGTTCCCAGTCATCATACATTTGTAAATTGAAGCTTTCAGTCCCTCAAGTGACCAACATCCTATTTCAAAAGATTTTTCCTGTTTTCATTTAGTTTTATTTCCTCAACTGTATGATTAGCCTTAGTGGCAAGCCTGTCCACTCCATTAATTGGTGCCAATTATAGCTGACGAATGCATTCTGCATTTTTCTTTTGTTCGCAATGGCCATGGACCAATGACTTATTCTACATGGCTATTGAATTACATTATTATTTTGTTCATTATGAGCATGGATTATGGACTTATTCAAGTCACAAAGCAGTAAGAAATGTGGTCATTTTTAAGTTGTTGAAGTCTTATTTGACTGTTATAGATGAATACTAAAGTCAATAGAAAAAGAATTCCATCATTATCTATGGATGAATATATTAACAAGAAGCAGATGTTAATTCCTTGTTTATCTCCTTCCACAGGAGTTCGATCCACCACCATGGCTTAACAGAATGCGAGAAATTGGGTACCCACCAGGATATCTAGGTAACTGAACACATCTCAGCTGAGTTTCAACCTTATTTGAGATATAGCATTGAAACATTTTTGGTAAATAATCATGATTGGAAGAAATTGCAATCTGCCATATCTGAAGGGCCATGCCATTTGCCCCAAGCCCCCAAATATTTTTGGTCGTCTGTAATGTTAACAGATAACAGATGAGGGGTTGACCAATAAACTATAGTCAGTTCCTGCAAATAATTGGAGCAATAATGTCGGAAGGGCTCCACATCTTCAAGAAATGCATGAAGACAAATCTTATTAATTCCTGGCCTCAAATAAAAATGGCTTCCCCTTTTAGCTCTTAAATTCTATCTTCTGATCTAAAACCACCGTGTGTAAGATTGAACCATTGTTTGGCAGTTTAAATTGTGCATTAGCAGCTTAAACTTCATTTACTATTCTCTCATGATACATAAAATTGACTATCTCTAAAACTTTCAGTACCCGAAGACGAGGATGAGCCATCTAGAATTACAATATATGCTGATGCAGAAACTGATGGACACGAAGATGGGGAAATTGCAGAGATGGTGCAGCCTGAACCAAGGATGAAAATGACAGTTGAATTTCCAGGAATAAATGCATCGATCCCTGCAGAGGCAGATGAAAAACTTTGGGCTCCTGGTCATTCAAGTTCCGAATCGATTAGGAATAGGTCACAGTCATCACACTATAGGTTAAACCATTCTTCTGAACCTGGCAGCAGGGGGCTCGAACGAAGATACTATGATGATTATGAAGATGAAGGCCCTCCTGGAGTTGACACTAGAGTTAGCTCATCCTATCCCCCAAGGTATGGTAATCATGATTCTGCTTACAGTTTTCAAAGTCCAAGACAGCCTATTTCAAGGCCGCGTAGCCCAACCTCGGGAAGGTCCTATTATGAGAGGGGTAGAAGGAGCCCCTTGGTATATGAAGATTTTGCTAGTCATGGTTCCTATAGATTTTCAAGACATTCACCAAGTTCTCATGGTTCAGCCAGATATGAAAATGAGATTGATGATGGATTGGATAACAGCCATCAGGAACATTCATCTCGGTCCAGTCATCGATATCACAGTCGATGGTGAACAGCATTGTTGTAACTTCTGATTTTGTCACTAGATATGATTGTTTAGCATCTGATAAGGCCATAACTTGTAAAGGTTTCCAGATAGATGATGGATGCATTGATACTTTTAACACCAGAAAAGTGGGAGGATTATTGTACAATTGATATAGACAGGCCTTAGATGGATTTAAATGGTTTCTTTACCTAGGATGTATTCATGTTGAATTTACTATTGTTCTCTAAATAAGACCTTAATTTTGGACAATTTATCCAATATTTGAATTCATTTGTATCTGCTTATTGTACAATAATCAATATGCTCGTGATTTATACAAATTTGCATCAAACAGACTCAAGTCTGAGATCAAACCAGACACAAGACGTCCTGATCCTCCATGCCATTCTTCCTGATGGAAGCTCAATATCATAGTTCTCCAACGAGGTTAGAGTCTAGCCAACTTACAAGCAAGATCGAGGCAAGAAAACTACGAAGATTACTTTCCCTCGGACTTTAGCTGCCTTCCAAGTAAGAAAAGTCCGATCGAGGTAAGAACAGACAAGATGGTGGACGAATAGACAAGTGCAAGTAATGCTCCCCTTAGTGACTGCATCACAGACTTTTGAGTTTTAGTATCTAGCAAGGGTTAACAATTATGATAAGAATAAGTTCTAATGTAATCCGAGGTTGCGGTTTTCAAGAACCTTAGCTAGAACCAGAGCATTGTCATTTGCATATTCCAACGAACTCTCTGGAACACTTTGGATGCCCTGTGCTATTTGCCATGAAAGGATCCTGGATTTTTTAGTATTAAGAGCTGTTATTTTTAACATTTTTTTTAGAATTTGCTTTGTAGAAATCACAGTGCAAATGAGATACTTACCCGAAAACAAAACCTATAGCAGATCCAATGTTAGCTTTCTCCGATGTTACCTCAACCTGAAGTTCTCCAAACTGTAAGTGGTAAAAGCTTCTCAATGATTTAGACCCATGCAATTGAATACACGACCTGGAACAGGTGGAGAAATGACATCTACCTTAAACATTCTAGTTTCTGTTTTTGGTTGTTCTTCAGTTGTTGCAGATATTGAACTTGCGGACAAAAGTTTTCCAGCTGCATCCATTGCTTTCGCAATCTGCAATGGTTCAATGGAATGTTTTCTTAAATTTTACAACACTAGAAAAGTTTCACAGGGTTAAAACAATTATGATAGGCATGCCCTTGGAGGTAAAAATTTTGAGGAACACTTTTTCAGTCTGTAGGAAAAAGTGAGAATGTTCATAACCGTGTTACAGACTAGAGGCATTGGATGCAAGTATGTGTCAGGCACCGTTATGCTGAACTTTTTCAAAGGTTTTCATACATTTAGAGGACCATACACTCCATACCTAGGTTCAAATATGTATTGGACACAGGTTTCGGAAATGGATACTTTAGGGAAAATGAAAAGTCGAGCAATTTAGGATAAAATAGAAAAGAATACGAGAAAAAGCATCTATTTCCAGGTTACTTGAAATACCTTTTGAAGTTCCCCTTGACCATACTGTCCCATTGACTGGAACCTTCTTCCAGCAGCTACCAAGCGCCTTCCACATGCTAAAGAAGCAAACAGTAGGAAACAAACAAGATTTCAGAGATAAATTTCTTTAAGATTGATATTTAGATGACACTCGCATACGCTTTTTTCTTGCCTGCTTTCGCACTGTCGTTCAAGGAGTTCACCAGTGATGGGAACTTGCTTGCTATTTTGTAGGAAGTTGATGTATCAGCTAACTCCCAAGCTCTTGAGAGATTTAATAATGCTTCTCCCAACTCCAAGCCACACTGGAAAAGATAATTCAAAGAAAGAAGCTGCTTGTGACCAGTTTATTGAACAACATGCCTATTGCTATAATGGAACAGTTTGTCCAATCCAGAAAGCAAGATAGAGAATACGAATTGCTCCTGAATGGGTTTAGGCATCCTATCAAGTGGATTTAGACTTAGTAATGGTGGAAAGGACACACAAGGGCGGTCATGAGCTAGAAACGACACGTTAGCGTTAAGTGTTCAACCTAGAACCAATTGGCAAAGAGTAGATTGACCAAATCTGAATACAAGATCACAATTCACAGGCAACCCTGGACATAATAGATGTGATATAACACTACTTAACACTCATCCCACGTGTGACTCAACAAGGGCCATGGCGGTCTACACGACAACAACCTCACATGAGTTAGGCAAGGAGAACATAACACACATGATCCTAGTTACAAGACCTCGGGAAACCTAAAGATTTAATAGGGGTAGCACCATTAACATGACTATTTAATTGATGTGGGATAACACCATTAACATGAAGATAACTAGATAAGAACCCATTGAAATGACAATGAGGCAACGAAGCATCAACCATTTCTAGGATTATGTTCCATAATTCTTCCTAGAAAAAGATATATGATTTAATCTTCATATAATCTTGCAATTCGTTCTTTACAAATCACCTAAAAGTTTTTCCTTTTTTATATTTTTTGAAGACCAAAATATTAATTCAAGAAATTACGCTACCAATAAAGAGAGTAGAGATAACTAACCTCATCAATCACAGGTCCATTTGAAAGATCAAAAGCTGCATCATTCAACTAAAAACACACATTTATAACACCCCAAAACAACATCAAAATTTACGTGCTTTAAAAAAACCAATGAAAACCCATAAAAATAATATTAATTATATCAAAAGGGTCACTGAATTTCATTTTACATCTAATCGAAGATCACCCGGTAGCTGAGAAAAGTAATCTGAAGGAAGATCAAAGCTATCCTGCAACCATAAAAATGGCATTGAAAAAACAATGCAAATAACAAATTTTGATCAGAAAGGATAGGAATTCAGAACTTACAGAAACATGTTGGAGAATGGTTTGAAGGTCGGGTTCAAGGGACTTGGGAGAGTCTGATTCAGTAAGAGCAAATGGGACGACAAGAGGTTTTGAGATGTGGAGAGTTTTGGAGTTGTTGAAAGTGGTTTTGAAGGGGATAAAGATGGGATTATTGTGAAACAAAACGGCATTAGACGGGCATGGAGCTGAAGGAAAGGTTAGAGATTGAAATAGAGAAAAAGAAGAAGACATGTTTCCAAGTAAAGAGTTATTCAAAGCCAGAAGCTGTTTGGATTTTTTATGGTTTTGGAAGTTAGTTTCTTGGACTTGAATTTTCCTCTAAGTTCACTTGTGGATATGGGTTGGGGTTTCAGTGTGATTAAGGACCCACTGCTGATTTTTTTTTGGATAATTTGTTTATATGTATCATATATATATATATATATATATATATATATATATATATATATTATATTTTATGAATTATTTTATTTTTTTATAATCATATTTAATTTATTGATCGGTTAATTTGTATCGAATATTATTAAGTTCAATTATAAACGGATCTCTTAATTCAATTTTTAAACTCCAAACATTAATTAAATCTATCGCCTTTAAGTTTGGAACGTTAAAACTAAAAAATACTCTAAAAAAAATAAAGACAAAATAATCATTTCATGGAAACAAATTTTAACATAATACCTATTGATAATGTCTATAAATTTCAAACTTTGCATTCTTTTTCATTTTATATAAATACTCCTCTCTAATACTTATACCCTGCATATATTGGGACATAAATTTGAATGTATATCTTTTATATATATTTAAAAATAAACATATCCATACTCATTTGTTCAATACATATCCCCGACACATCTACATTGCATATAACTAAAAACAATGGATTTTTCCTTTTTGGACTTAAAGAGAGAGAATAAATAAGTCGAACAGAAAAAAAAATGCATGGTTAAAAACTTCCACCGATGAAAATGGGAACCTATGAGATACAAAAGTACCGATAACCATGTTTCTCAAATACAATTTTCCCAAGCCTAAACTTGAAAACGGGTTTAACTTACGACCTTCGCCACCTTCCTCTGCTCGAGTTGGCCCATCAATGGGCACTGCATCTCCGTCCAGCTTATTGGAACCATTGCTGCACCTACAGTAGACAACGAAGCAGAAGTTGAGGAGTCGTTGAACACATAATACCGGACACTTATGGTAGAATGCCAACGTTACTGCTAAGAAACATCTATGGTCCGGGCCATAGTTAAAAAGAAAAGAAGAGGAAGAGCAATCTTACCAGCTGAGCTCTCGGCAGACACAACACCCAGTTCATTCTTAGCCGTTGATAGGTAATAAGCCCGTGCATCTCCAAGAGATAGCTTAATAAAGGAACCGTGTTAAGGAAAACAAAACACGTGTCAAAACAAATAAATGGCAACACATTTCTCGAATTCTAATCTGACTCACACGAAAGTTAAGATCTACGAATAAGACACTGCTAGAATATAAAGGATACCGCCATAGCTCTGACAATATCACCGGGACGAAATGACAAACGCATATCCACTTCGTCAATTTCAGTTGCTCTAACATCCTGTTGCCTGTTAAAATAAAGTGTTTTTCAGTTAATGCATACCGCTCTTGAAAGATCTAGCCAGAAGTACATAAAATTGATCAAACATTTGAAAATCTCATGGAATCTATGCAACTCAAAAGTGATGGAAAAACAGCATGTTTAAACTAATAATAGAATGTAAACACCGTCAACAACCAGAGAATTATATTAACACACACACAAACAGATGTAGCAAGGATATGCATGCTAAACTCTTAACAGGAGAATTTCGTAAATCCATTAAGTCTAAATGAACACTTGGCTGTATGGAACAGCTAGCTTCCAAACATGGCGTTTATCACATAAATCATAGGCTACACCAAAATACAAATATCTTGAAAACAAATTGGTTGTACGGCCCCGGGTTCATAGAACCGAAGTACATCATGTGGTTCTAAAAGGAAATAAAACAGTTCTTTCATGTTAGAGAGAAAGGAAAGGTGTAAGTAGTTTTTGGGATAACAAATTCAACAAGGATATTTAAAACTTAAACAGTCCTTGTCAGAAATACTGACTACCCAGTTATTGAAATCTATAACTGAACATGAAAGGATGAAATCATTTTCAAATACGAAACTCAACCGTACTCCTAATAAAAGAGAAAAGAAGACTATGTACCTAATTATACCAGTGAATTTTTCTCTCACGGACTTCAGACCAACACACATGATATCAGCCGAAACTGTCCTAGCCATCACCTTAGTAACCTGTTCTATTCAAATAAAAATCACATTTTGATACCACAGAGTAAAATTAGGCTTGTTATATATAGAGAATCACGATCAATCAGCATCATATTTTCAACCAAAAACTTAAATTTAAGAGTAGCTCTCGGATAAAATGCTTCTTCAAAAAAGATAAATCCAAAACTTACTCGGGCAATGACAACCGAACCTGGCTCTGGTACAAGACCATGAGCTTTGTGACCATTTACTTCCACAATTGATCTCTGTAAATGATTATGATAAAATATGTTCAATAAAAATGTCCAGTACAGTAAACATTATATAACATTAATTTTGATTCTCAGAGCACTAATTGAATTAGAAGTATGAAAGTATGGTTTAAAGTAAGAATTATACCTAGAAGGATTTATACCTACCTAAACATACAAGAATATATTCCATCCCATGGAAGAGAAAAGAGAGAAGAATTTATCTAAGTTAAATCATAAAGCTAAAACCTTTGAGATTATTTCTATGAAAATAATAATAAACATATTGGTAAAAACTGTTCAGAGTAATCTAAATTAAAACCCCAAAAAAATACATTGAGAAACAACATATACTAAACAAGGAAAAGAATTGTGGGTAATATTAATTCAAGCTAAAACCCAGAATTATTATTAATGGAAGAATATAAAAATAACAAGAAAAATATGGGTTAAAACTGTTGTATAAAATAAAGAACCAAAACCTGGTGTTGTTCTGAGACACATTGTACGCTCCTTTCCTTGCTTTCAGCTCGGTGGCTCTTCCCAGTACCTCTCCTGGAGTTACCATCTCATTTGCTTTTTCCATTTTTCTTCTAAATTTTCCTCTTTGAAGCTGTCTTCGCTTGCTGCTGCTGCTTTGTTCTTGGCTGGAGGCTGCTTTTACTAGCCTATTATAAGACTGTTGTTAACTCAATTTTGGTTCCACAATTAAAATAAACTTTTAAACTTTTTATTTATAATAAATATTTTTGAGCGGTTATAAATAAGGGCCTAATACTTCAGAACAGTTGAATAACAGCCTTACAATTTTTTAAATTTGTTCAATTAAAGGCTATCATTTGAGTAGATTATAAAATGTTAGATCCTTATTTGAGCATTCTCAAAAGTGTTAAGCCATTATTTGTTTTTTTAAATGTTAAACTTTTATTTGAGCAATGCTTAAACTTGTAACAACTCATAAAAACTGGGTCCTAATACAACTATTTAACCTATTATATGTGGAGAATAATGTGAGGTAGTGTCAGCTTAGTTCATCGATGAATCCACACCATCCATTTTGGTACATTAGTCAGATTTAATTATGGTTATAGTCAACATTCAGCAATAGCTTTATCGTTTGGATTTAGAACTTTTTTATTTTATAAACAATTTAGGTTTAGAAGTTGGAACCACATGTAAGTTTTCTTTTCTTTTCTTTTTATAAATCTACCTTTAATTTTGATGCTTAAATTATTGTCACACATCACATTTATAAATTTAAGTGTGACACGCATTTATAAAACTTTTATTTAAATGCACACTAAACGAATGACCTAATATTTGAATAGGTCTAATCATATGAGAAATAATTATATTATATTAGTTTTAAATTGTAGATATAATAGTTGTAACCCCAGACACGGTCTGTAAATTAGACCCAAACTTAAATTGTCATATATCTCATTTAGAGATTTTTTTTATATATATTTAAAACAACTTATAAAAACATTAGAGATAATACAAAACAAAATATCGATAATACAACTATATCCAAAACGATAGCAAAATACATGTCACAAAATACAACTGAAAAACATATAGAGATATACGTTCGTACAAAATAAAGTAGTTGATCTCCCCCGACGCCAAATATGCTAGCTTATTGTCTGTTGTTATCTGAAAAATATTAAAATTACAGAATGAGCTAAAAAGCCCAGTGTGCTTCAAACAGTGTATAAAAACATACTAATAAAATATTTCAGTAAAATCAGTTCATCAAACATGTTTGTTTTATTTAAAATATGAACACTATCCCCGTCTGTCACGAACAAAATGTGTAGATTCCCCATAACCATACACCCCGTCACGTCCAGTAAGACCCTGAACACAAAGCCGAGGAGCCTGCAAGTATTCTTCCTCCAACAATATTCCCCCCAATGTCAGTAATAAACAAACATGTATTCAAGTGAAATTGGTGAATAATTCATAAAAACATGAAAATGTTTCATGCATAAAAATCATATATAGAAATACAGAAATCAGATATCATGTAATCAATATTCATAAATCAAGTATCATGTATCATGTCATAACAGTATCATGTATCATGTCATAACAGTAACATGAATTATCACTAATCTAAAACAATTCAAATAATATTTTTAAAACAGTAAAATAACACTGTCATGAAACACACCTGTAACAGTCTGAGAAATCATATAGGGAAGCTTATTACTGGGTTTGTCGATCACGCTCTACTGTAGCGCTAGATCCTACGAATTGGAAAAATTCATATTGGAATCCTAATATAAATAATCTTAATCTTTATTTAAATAATATACGGAAACCTACGGGTAATTCTTGTAGTACGAGGTTCGGGATGATCTGACGCACGAACAACTCCAGACCTAACTGATCCTCGCTCAGGTGAAACACGAGTACCTTCATAAAATATTTTATTGAATCAATTCCTTAACCAAAACTCAAATAAATAATCAAAATATTAAAATACTAAGTCTGTTGGGTTCACATGCTCGATTCGGTGATTTCGGGTCAGAATTTGGAAAAATGAACTTCGGAATCAGATTCAGGACGTCGAAAAACATAAAGTATGGCCTTCCGAAATTTTGAATTCTTGGTCGAAATCAAAGTCAACGATTTGACTGACGATTTAGAGACTTTCGGGTTCGAGTTTGGTGAAACAGACCACAAAAACGGATTCAGAACATCAAAAAATATTAGGATAGATATACTCAAAAAAGATTAACAGCCGTTTAATGGCCGGTCAAAATTGGTCAAAGTTCTGGTCAAAGGTGGTCAACAGATGATCAACAATTTTACACAATTATCACCCTTTTAAGAAATATTTACAAAATATCACCCTTTTCAAAAAAATACTAAAATATCACTTTTTTCAAAAAATTTATGAAAATATCACTTTAAAAAATTACGAAAATAGCACCATTTTTAAAATAATTACCAAATATCACCATTTTCAAAATAATTACTAAAATATTACCCGATCAACGGTCAAAGGTCAACGGTCAGGTCGGGTCGAACCGGTTCGAATCGGTCAAACCGGTTATAAACTAATCAAGCTACGGCCGAGTCTTCTCCACGCACAGTGTCAGCCCGTGGTGGCGTGTGGGACCTCCTACGGCGTACAATAAATCACGAAAAAATTTCTAAAAATTATTTTGAGCGATTTCGAGATACTTACAAAGCTCAGTTCAAATTTTTGAACGGCGAAGAGCTCGATTTCAACAAATCGGAAACTTTGATCGCTTAACCTCCTCACGCGCCGCCGTCTACGGAGACCAAGGATGACACCGACGAACTCAGAATGGCACAAGGAACACGATGGTGTGGGAGGTGTTGAAAACCGAGCGACGATCGGTGATGAATTTAAGATTTTCTCGGCGATGATGCTAAAAAAATTTCGAGACTTTGACTTGAAATTCACGACGTTTGGCAGTGTTTCACTTCAATTAATTTAAGGGGCTTATTCCTCGCTCGATGATGAACACGATGGTGTTTTCAAAACAACGATCGGAGGTCGGACGGAGTCGGGATCGTGGTTGGAAGTTGAGATGCGTGGGGGTAAAAACTTAGCAAATTGTTCTGGTATGAAACCATAATCAATTTGCACACATATAAACAAAAATTCTGCCGACACACTTTGGAAATATTCAATGATTGGTCATTGAATTTCCTTTACATTTTAAAACAGGCTACAAGTTTTAAAAACTTCCAATTAAATCCTCAATTTCGTCAATTTACTTAATTAAATATTTTTTTTCAAATTTTTGGGATGCTACAATTCTCCCCCTCTACAAGAAATTTCGTCCTCGAAATTTACCTTATGAAAATAGATGAGAAAATTGAGCCTTCATTGACTCTAAAGTCTCCCAAGTAGCATCTAAGGGGGTACGATTACTCCACTAAACTTTGACATTGGAATATGCCTATTCTGAAGAACTTGCTCATCTCTCTCTAAAACCTGAACAGGTTCATCCTCATATGACAAATCAGATCTCAGCTCTACCTCATCAACCTGAATGATGTGATCCGGATCTGGACGGTATCGCCTCAACATAGACACATGAAAAACATCATGAATACGACTGAGCTGGGGAGGCAACTCAAGTTGATAAGCAACAGGTCCAATTTTATTCAAAATACGATACGACCCAATAAATCGTGGACTCAGTTTACCCTTACGTCCAAATCTCTATACCTTCTTCCATAAAGATACCTTGAGAAAAACCTGATCTCCAACCTCAAACTCGATATCCTTACGTCATTTATATGCGTATGATTTCTGCCTATCAAATGCCTCTTTTAAGCGATCACGGATCAATCTGACAGTATCTTCAGTCTCTCGAACCAAGTTTGGACCCAAAGTTTTTCTATCATGCAACTCTGTCCAACATATAGGAGTACGACATCTACGTCCATACAGAGCCTCGTACGGTGCCATGCGAATACTTGCCTGGTAACTATTATTGTAAGCAAACTCAGCTAATGGCAAGAAATCTTCCCAAATACCACGGAAATCAATCATACAACCCCGTAACATATCCTCCAACACTTGAATAACTCGCTTAGAATGTTCATCAGTCTAGGGATGAAAAGATGTACTGAAATTCAAACGAGTACCCAGAGCCTCGTGCAAGGCCTTCCAGAACCTGGATGTGAACCTCGGATCTCGGTCAGATATGATAGACAACGGTACACCATGAAGTCTAACGATCTTAGAAATGTACAACTTAGCCAGTTTGTCCAGAGAATAATTAATCCGGATAGAAATAAAGTGCGCTGACTTGGTGAGTCGATCAACAATCACCCAAATAGAATCATTTTTTGAAGGAGTTAGAGGAAGACCAAT